TTCATCCAAAATTTCTCTATATTTTTTGTAATTTTCCTCTGATAAGCATACGCTTTCCACTACAGAATGAATATTAATTGCTAACTCTTCATTTTTTTCCGTTTCATCTAGCTGTGCTCTAGACAGACAAATCACAACTAACAACTCCTTTCCGGGCTTATACACTATCTGTAACTGTATTTTAACAACATTACAAACATTCTTTGCTGTAGTAAGCGGACGTACGTTGTACAACACGGAACAAGAGAAGAGCACCTGGCAGAAAAAGGGCGGCAAGATAAGTGTTTGTGTAAGATTGATAATTATTGTGTTGTATTGTAATTAGAGAAATAAATTGAATGGAAATAATATAGAACTGTATTTATGTGTGACTAGCGAAGTTACTACATTTGCAGTCTTGCTGAAACCTCATCTGACTTTTTTTATTACGGTTTCTAACAGTCTGTGATCACTTTCCACGTTAAATTTCCGTCTGTATAAAAAATAATGGAATCTCTGGCATGCAAATACAATTGCCAGCAACTCCTTCTCAATCTGTGCCCCTTTCTGTTTATTTTTCGCCAAAGTTCGTGACGCATAAGCCACTAGGTGACCATCTTGTATCAATAACCATCCCAGCCCGTCTTTCGAAGCATCTGTCTGCACAGTAATTGATTTTTTTGGATCAAAACAGACAGTACAGGGTTTGATGTAATTATCTTTAACAATTCGTTTAATTCTTTCGCGTGTTTATTTTTCCATTCAAATATGACATTATTTTGTTAGTTTTCTTAATGCCGCTGATTGTTTTGAAAAATTTGTAATAAATTTTCTCACATATTTAAACATACCTAGCACGCGTAAGACATCATTTCTGTTTTCTGGAATTTTGATCTTTAGAACTGCCTCACGGTATTTTTCTGTCGGTTTGATTTTGCCATCACAAATATTATGAATTCAACATAATTTGTTCGATATTGTACTTTATCTTTGTTAAACTTAACCCCGTGCAATCGCGTACATTCAAGAACTTCACCTAATATCCTATCATACTGATCTTTGCTTCCCGTCATTATGAGTACATCATCAAAGTAGATAATAACTCAGTTGATACCCCCTAAAATTTTGATCATTTTCTTTTGAAACGTCTTCGGAGAGCTGTTTAACCCGAACGGAACCCTCTTGAATTTAAATCTACCAAAGGGTGTCCTAAACGTGGTTAACCCAGCGCTTTTCTCATCGAGTTCCATATGCCAAAAGCCGTTAACTAAATCAAGACTAGTAAAAATTTTCTTTCCTGCAATCTGAGTTGAAAAATCATCCATTGCTGGAATTAAGTAATGTTCTCGTCGAATGCACTTGTTTAGTGGCTTGGGATCAAGACAAATACGAAGCTTTCCGTTTGGTTTTGCAACAACCTGCAAATTATTTAACCAAATTATTTATGTTGGCTAATCAACTTTGGAAATTATTCCTTCTCGCTCTAAATTCTCTAGCTTAACTTTCAGTTTATCCTTTAAGCTTAATGGTATACGTTTTTTATAATGCAACGTTGGGACTGAGTTTTCTTTAAGTGTGATTGTTGATTTTCGTGGAAACTTACTCAACCCCTCAAAAACATCTTTATTGGCATCAATAAAACCCACCCTGTTCGCCGGCATTTCTGTGACCGTATTTATTGCAACGGTTCTCGCAAATTATCTACAACGCAAAACTCTATTAAATGCTCAGCCCTTGTATCCATGTCATAGCACATTAATTCTACTATTCCAAAAATATCAATTTTGTTATTACAATAATCATATACCGAAAAATGTTTACATTTATTTTTTATTTTAAGCTTATGGTTACGAACTATGTCCAATCCGGTATTAATTTTAAATTTAATTACATCTGTTTCAATCCGATACTTCTTTTATTTGTTTTTATTTAATTCAACACTGCTTATTATTAACCTAGGGTTTGACTTAGAGTTACTGAATGAGCCACTCACAACCCCAACATGCTTTCTTAACTTACCAGACTGTTCACTATTATACCAGTTTACTGAACTGGCCGACTTCAGTTGCTTACCACTGCTATTGTTAGTATTGCTGTTACCACCGCTGTTTGTTGAATCACTTTGCCTCCTGCCTTTGCTACAATGCCTTTTAAAAAGTCCTCGTTTTCCGCACCCTCTGCATTTGACGTCCTTTGCCCTGCATTCCTTGAGATGGCTTGGTTTCCACGATTGACCACAATTGAAGCAAGATCGATTAACTGCATTAACAGTTGTTTCCACATCTTTGGACTCAATGTTTACGACAGTTTGCGATTTTGAATTATGCTTATTAGCATAAGCTGATTCATGGATTTTACATATTTCAATGGCTCTAATCAATGTTTCATCACGCCCGTCTAACAGTTTTAGCTGCAGTTTCTTATCGGATATTCCAATGATTATTCGATCTCTTAGCATGCGATCTTCTTAAGACTTGCCACATTCCCAAATAAATCCATAATGCGGCAATTGCTTCCGTAATTCAGTCACAAATTCCTGAAACACCTGTTTTTCTTTTTGTTCTATAATATTGAACTTATACAACTCCATTGCTATGTTCTTTTGCGGCAAACAGTAGTCATCAAATTTTTTTATTACTTCATCGAGATCGCGCTGCATGACTGCATCCCCACTGCGCACTTCGACAAGCATCGAGTTTGGTGAACCATCATTTGGAAACAATGTGTTATAAATGAACACACCCTCTTCTCCAATCAGCCACAAGAATATAGCTATTTTAGTTTTTTCATCTGCTTTCATTTTTCCATTTGCGATCATCCACACCATAAAATTTTACTTCCACTTTGGCCAGTCCGTTGCTATGTTAGCACAGTCCAAAATGCTTGGCACTCTTTGATTGTAAGCAGGGACGAAAAATAACAGTTATTTTAAAATTTTTTATGGAAAAAAGCAGCAACAAAAAGCTGTCTAAACTCTTATTTAAGTAAATAGTTATCATTCTAACAACTTTTATCCTTAATATTATGAATGCTTTTTATATATAAGCGTTTTAAAATAAAAATCAAAAAATAATAATTAAATTTGATTTTTATTATATTCATCAAAAATAATTATTATTATATGCCTTTTATTTTCTCGCGCAGAAATAACTCTTAAAATTTGCTTCTTATTTTAAAACGCACAAATAACTGGTATACTTGCGTTATATAATATAAAAATCAAGAGTATCGCGCAAATTCTGCGTGATATTTTTAAAATGAAAATATAAAATGCAATTTTCATACAAGGTAGTTGTTTTTGTAATTCCATAGAAAATGTTTTAAAAGGTTGGTGCAGGTAAAGATTTAGTTCAGTTTTTTATTTTTGTAATTTGGATTCATATTTTGTATTTATATTTGTATTTTGTAGGAGAACAAATTTGTATGCAAAATACAAAAACAAAAAACTAAACTAAATCTTTACCTGCACCAACCTTTTCAAACATTTTCTATGGAATTACAAAAACAACTACCTTGTATGAAAATTGCATTTTATATTTTCATTTTAAAAATATCGCGCAGAATTTGCGCGATACTCTTGCTTTTTATATTATATAACGCAAGTATACCAGTTATTTGTGCGTTTTAAAATAAGAAGCAAATTTTAAGAGTTATTTCTGCGCGAAAAAATAAAAGGCATATAATAATAATTATTTTTGATGAATATAATAAAAATCAAATTTAATTATTATTTTTTGAGTTTTATTTTAAAATGCAAATGATAACAGTTATAAGATGATTTTTATTTTTTTTATGATACCTGTTACGGTCCCTGATTGTAAGCCATCTTGACACCCGAACACTTTGTTTTTGTTTCTTAATGTATAATATTTTCAGTATCCCACTTCTGACACCATGTAACAGTTTATTAGATATTTAATTGCTTAAAACAGTAATAGCAGTTGTAACTATTTATTAGATAGTTAATTGCTTAAAACAGTAGTAACAGTTGTGACAATTTATTATATATTTTATTGCCTAAAACAGCAGTAACAATTTATTAGCGCCTTAACGCTATGAACAACAACTCCTGACTCCTAAAAAAATTTTGCTACATTGGTTGGCTGCTGAACATGTGGAGTGCATTGTGGCCATACTAATAATTTATTTCAATATATTACAATATTTAATAATTTATCTTAACTTATCCTAATTTTTTTTTTGTGATTTTTTAAGTGTTAGGTTAGTTTGATACTATTGAACCTAAATCAGCATCCTGATTTCCTTTTAGATATTTCTAACAATAACGAGTTTAAGTTCAAAAACTTAGGTTTTATAGTGTTAATACTCTTTTTTGAGAGATCGAAAATTGTGTGTATTAACTAAACTTTTTCAAATAAATAGACGAGAAATTTTTCATATATTTCTTAAGACGAGTTTTTTTTTCAGATTGGTTTTAAGAAAATTCTTGCAAATAAAGCAATTTATTAATTGTGCAACAACAAAGAATACTACAAAAAAAAAGGGTACCAAAAATCTATTTCGTCTTGCTGATAATAACAACTATTTTGTCATAAGTGCGACTGTTTATATGTTTGATTGCATAGATGGCACTTTCCCATAATTTTTTAACAGAGGTAAAATAATTTATATTTGTTTCAATTACTTTTTCACTTACTATTCTCTCTAGCAATGTTTTGGCATAGCCTTGTCTGTATGTATATTAAAAGAAAGTTTTAAGTAAAAGCAGATAATATAAAATTGAATAATCTAAATATACATAAAAGAAAAACTCGTCCAAGTTTGCTTCAATCATTCTTAATTTAATCTTAACCCATTTTCAGATCAATGAGACAACGAAAACCTTTTCTACACATTTATCTTGATTCGCACTAAATTTCAATTTAAAATATACTATTATTGCTTTTAGTAAATTAAATGGAACTGCCTCAATTTTTCGAAAAATCCAGTATTTTTTATTTGTAAAACTTTATTGAACGTCAGATATTAAGGGAAGAAAAAATATTGATAAAAACTATTAGTCATTTTTTTTTCTTTTATTAGCCGTTTAATCCCACTGAAACTGTTTTAAGTTTTCATATACTGTTTTTATATTTATAAAAAATACATTGTTTAGATGTGTTAACATTGGTAGTTAAAACTGAATTACAACATTACTCGTTTCTCAAATCATCTGTTCCAGAATCTTCTAATATACTTAAACCAGCTTCGTATATTTGTCGTTTATACATTGCTATCTTATTATCTTGATCTAATAAGAGCATAAATAAATTTTCTTGATCTGTTCGTAGTTTCACTAATTCATCATTTGCAATTTTTGCACGAAGTGTCTCATCCGCTAAACGATTAAGTAATATTTCTTTAGTATTTTTATCATTAGCATCACCGACAGAATCCGAATTATTCTGATCTTCATTTAAGTGCATTAAATTGTTACCCTGTACTGATTGAACATGTTGCGTTGATAAAACTTGTGCTTTTAACAACGTATTATAATCCGATAAATGCACATTTTTTTCTTTCAATTTAAGAAGTTCATTTTCCAGTTCTGTATTTTTTACTTCAAGAAGTTTTACATTTTCTTTTAAGGAATCAATTTCATTGCCTAGGCCTCTGATAATATTTTTATATTGAGTCACAAGTAAAATAGAATCCGTAGTTAATGAAAGTTCCGATAATTCTTCGGTGTTCAAATCTATATTATTAATTAATTTAATTATTTGAGTTTCTAAAGACTTATACAATTTACAATATTCATAATCTAAAAACACGTCAGATGAACTTTTAACACGTATATACATTTCTTTGCATGCTTTAACATAAGCTTTGTGATGTGATACTTCAGTTATTTTGCAGCAAAATGTTTCCTGACCAATGCGTTTACCAATTAACTGGCAGATATCTTTACTCGTTTGAGATGGAATGGTATTGTCATTGAATTGGATGCAGAGACCCATTAAGAATGCACAACTGCCTTGCACTAAATACTCTTCTTCACCATGTTCATTAGCGCTTATTTGTGCAATTATAAAAGCCATAGTACCTTCGCTACTTATAAATGCTTTGACCGCAACAGGGCAATAGGCTAGCCAAGTACTTAGTAGCATAATAATACCTAGTTTACTCTGTAATTTGCAACCTTCTTGTTGAAGCAATGTAGTGCACTGATCTAATAAAGTCATTGGCTTAGATCCATTTGGTGAGGCTAACAGAACTCTTAATAATTCTTCTTTCTGTTTAATATTATCAACTAATGTATGCATCAACGCAACAGCAGAGAACCAATTCGCTAAAGCATTAGAAGAAAATAGTCCAGTACATAAGAGTTGACCTGTGGAAAGTCTGAGATTGTCGAGTGTTGATGACGGTAATAACGTTTGAATTACAGTTTTCTTTCCATAATCATTTCGATATAAATAGCATTGCACACAATAAAGAACAGCACAACGCAATGATAAAAGCTGTTTTTCATTTATCATTGTCATTAATAAGACTACCAAAGCAGGACGTGGCGGCATACTAGGTGCCACAACCATATCAAAATCGTTTTGATTTTCAATATTAGCTCTAATTACCTCTCCAATAGTATTGATTGTTTCAGTTAAAATATCTGCTGGTATACCACTACTCATCAGGATTATACAAAGCGAGTTCAACAATTTGGATTGTCGCATTACATTTTGGCATGCACAAATCATTATTTGCTGATTATTGGGACTTACCAAAGTTCTTACAACTTGAAGCATGCAGTGAACATTTGAAACTTTTTGGGGAGTCCAACTATCTGCTGTTAATGAAAAAACAAACATTTCTGCTAGTTTTTGAATGTATGAACCTTCTTTAAAAAATTGTTGATTGCTGGAATTATTTTTAAGTAAATTTAAAAGAAGTATTAGACAATCTTCTACTATAATACCACCATCTGAACGTCCCTCATCATGAATTATTTGAAATATTTTATCATACGCATTTTCAAATGTAACAATTTTCTGAATATTAGTGTTACTGTTAGTTAGTTGAATCAAAAGTAAAAGTGCATCATTCCTTATTGCTTCGCGACTGTCCTTAAGCAAATCCATTAACTTTGAAATTCCTAAAGGATTGACTAAGATTATGTTTTGTAAATCGCGTGTTCTATTTGATATAAGCATTGTTAACAGATGGATGGCTCCTCTTCGTACTTTAAAGTCGTATGTTTCTAAACAATCCATTATTAAACCAACATTTTCCGGAACCTTAATAAACATTTCTGTAAACTGTTCACCAATGCTTGCAGATATTTGACTTCTATCACATTCATTTTCATACTCTTCACATGTTACCACGTTACAAAGTGTATCCAATGAATAACTTACAATTTCAGAATCCTGATAATCATTTCGCAGTATTTGAATAATTGCTGTCATACCTTGAGCACCAACCTCAACGCGATACTCTCTAGAGAGAGCCCTTAACGCCTTGCATGCATCGCGTCTGTCATCTAATAAAACTGAATGTAATAACCGATCCACAAGTTTTTCCACTGTTTCTGGAGCAGTTGGGGCTTGATCATTATCTGCAGATCCCAAAACAGACTTAATACCAGTTTTAAAAAAATTCATTAAAATATTTTCGCCTATGTATTATACCAGAAATTATTAACATGCTAAAACAAATAATATTTCCATAAGACGATTACACCATACAACATTCAGTTAAATGCCGTTCAGACGGTCAGTCCTCCTCGAAGACCATGTTTAAGACTTTAAGGGGCATTACAGTTTATTTAATAACATTGAATGTGCAATAGTACTTGCATTCTTTTCAACATTAATCACAGAATAAAAATCGCTGAAATTGGAAGATCATTTTGAATGAGCCATTTGAAACTGTTTGTTCTCATATCAAACAGCTGCTTTTTCAACTTGCCTGTTGATTTGATTTTTGGCTTGTGCCAAAAAAATGTTGCCTGATGATTATATATACCTTCAAACCTTTAACTTCGATTAAATACTTTTTAGAAAGTAGAAGTTCTAAAAACAAATGATCGTTTGTTTAACTTTTTTGTAAATATGTCAAAAACAGCTTTCTCAAACTGTCAAAATGCCATGAAGAGCTTTTATTTAGGGTGTGTTCAATGTATTCCTTTGTATTTGGAACGCATTCGAACGTTGTTGGGACGCATTCATACAGAACGTGATGAAATGGATCGCATTCGCGCTTTAAGTTTTGTATGCAATTATGAACCATTAGCTTCTCATCTTCGATTTTTGACCAAAATGAGCCATTTTCGCACAGTGTAAATGCCGTATTATATCATGTTGACATTATGAATTTTGTGGACGAATTTTGCTAAAGTTGACTCCCAAATGTTACCATTACCCTCTCGCATTTTCATTGTGACAGTTGTTGTTATTGTTATCTTTTTATTTGTTTATATTTTATGTGAATACTTTCCAGCAAAGAATTTTTGTACAAGAACAGCAACTTAAATACAAACAAAATAAATCAACCAATACACTCTTAAAATAATTTACTACTACCAGAACAAGCATGTTGTTTTAATGTTTTAAGTCGACCCACCACGAGTGAAAAGTTTCACCACCCTGGACCGAACGTTTCATCTCCACGAATGGTTCTATACTTTTTTAGTATTGGAGTTTGTTTTGATTTTTTGACAGGAGAAATGCGCGCCAAAAACTGAAAAACGCGGTCAAATCAAACTAAGTTATGAAAGGTAGTGAATAAGTTCCTTTGATAAGATAATTACATTTATCAATTACAATTATTATTTGAGCTATTAATATTTGAAGATGGTGCGGAATTGCTTATCGGATGAAAGTTATCTAGGGGAATCTAGGGGAAAACTTCCAAAAAATGACGAAAGAAGGTAAAAAAAATTTATTAATTGTTAATTTAAAATATATGTTTTATGTTTAGAACGTGTGCGAGTTAGGCTATGTTGATGCTAAACCGAATGGGACTTTTCTTGGGAATTTTTGCACTGCATACATTTAGCCACTTAGCCCAAAAAAGTGTGCAAGTAACATTTTGGCAGCTTATATCAGCTGTGATATGTTTTGATTTCAGTATTTTGTTTACATATTTTGAATAGCGAAGCAAATTGATGAACCATTTTTATTTATGCAATTTTTCTAATTAATTTAATTAAATAATCGTCTTAAGATATTGATAAAGAGTTTCTTAGAAAAATATCCAAAGGTAAATATAAAATAATTTCAGTAAATAACATAAATTATTAGTTTGACTATTTAGCGCGAGATTTTATGCCAAAGTAGATATTCCTCTGAAATATTTAGAGCTGTTGCGAAGAAAGATAATTCGATCAGAACAAAAAATTGAAATTCCCTCATTAAATGAAGAAACTGGTTTAGATATTTTCAAAATTCCTTCGCATAAAATTAACTTGACTCGCTGCATTCATTTGCGTAAAATAGCTGAACTCATACCCGGAGCTTGTGGTGCAGAAGTTAAATGCGTTTGTATAGAAGCTGGTATGTACGCATTGCGTGATCGTTATTCACGAAAATTTCGAAATGACTGTCGCTTAAGTTATGCAGAAGAATTCAGATAAAAAACTGTCTATTTAGAAATTATGGAAAAAAATTTAAAAACTTTTATATATTTATACACCGAGTATCATAAAATGATTATTGCTTTGTAATTGAATTATTTCTTGGATCTTCACAATTAAAAGTTAAAAACTTGATATAACATTTACGTTTTTTGTATTTGCTAATTTTTTGTGAGAAACGCATAATTAATTTTTTTTGCTATTAAAATCGGATTAAAGGCATTGTGTATTAGATTAAGTGTTGGTTTCTAATATTTTGGTATTGTTGCTACATATTTTATTACAGTTATAGATTATTTTAGATCATATAAAAAATGTTTTGTCGTAAATATTTTTTCAAAACCTTTTGAATTGCGTTTAGAGCAATGATTCTCGACTCAAGACATGCTGTAGACCAAAAAAATATTCAATGTATTTTACAAACAAAATATTAAAAGCAACTTGTGCAAAGAGTAGTGCCAGTAAAAATTTGATATTTTCCAAGCCACCAGTCCTAATATATATATATAATCCTTCAACTCCTAGGAAGAGCATAGAGTCGTAACAAATAACTTCCACTCGGTACGATTGGTGACCAATAGATTCAACTCTCCCCATCCTTTCCGCATGTGTGATATTTCCGCGTCGGTTTGTTGTCTCCAGATGTGAGCAGGTCTGCCCCCTCTTCTGCTACTCATCGGGTTCCACTCAATCGCCATTCTTGTAATGTCACCAGTCGGTCTACGCAAAGTGTGACCGATCCATTCCCAATTGCGGTTTTCAATTTCGTTTGAAATTGTATTTGGCCAAAATACTTTAACAATTTTGCGTAATGACTGATTTAAAAAAACTTGTAGTGCATGATGCTGTTTTCCGTAGTATTCCAGGATTGGCATCCATATAGAAGGCAATATTTTATGCTGGAATTAAATTTTCGTATTTTAGTCAGACGCGATATCTGAGATGATCTCCAGACTTTATTTAAGCGACCGAACGCTTGTTTTGCCTTGTTGATGCGGTTCTCAATGTCCGCACTGAACTACGTCCAGGACGATGTTGAACAGCAACGGTGACATTACGCAACCCTGTCGAACGCCGGTTTTTATGAGTATTTTGTCGCTTAGATATTTCTCGTGCAGTGTCCTGCAACTGGCATCCTTGTATAGGGCTTTGATGAGCCCAATGATCTTTTGCGACACACCCTTATGTTCAAGCGCGTTCCAAATGACGGTGTGACATAGTGTATCAAAGGCTTTTTCGTAGTCTATAAATAATAAATATAGTTGATCTCCATTCTACAGACTGTTCGATGATTAATCTTATAGCATTGACAGACGACAGCTAAATTATCATTAAGGGGCTAAATTATAATTTATTTGCTCATTCAGCAGTTTTAAATGATCATTTATGGTCTTTAAATGACCGAATTTAACCCAATTTATATGTCATTTAGATTTTTAGAAATGGTAATGCAGCATATGTAAGTGAAACGAAATAAAAAATGGAACAAATTTCAAGCTATTTGGTTGTCAAAATGTAAACAAAATATATTTGGAATCATTGGTAAATGCAAGTACTCGTTATATTTTATATATTTTATATTTTTTTTATATATTTCAATTTCAATTTCGATAAACACAACTTCTTTTTATATTTTATTGTTTGTACGTTATTTTCAATATTTAGTTTTAAATCTAAATAATATTTTCTCTTGACAATTAATTAAATAGGTTTTGTCTTAAATCAATTGAGGCATCCAACTCAAAAGTATCAAAAAATTCTGGTTGATCTGCCGTTTCTTCCACACTATTGTGTTGAAAAAAAATAAATAAACTAAATAAAATAATAAACACAACTACTTATTAATTTAATGACTTTACAACGGCCTCCAACATCGACAATTTTTTTCGTTCTATTTCTTGATCAACCGCCCAATTGTTTCTGCATTGCTCCACCCTTTTCGTGATGTTACACGAAAAGGGTGTTACTCTAAAAATATAAATAACTATAAAAAATAGATTTCCTTAATATTTTTACTTTTAAATTCTACAACTACTTACGTTTGATTCACAGCAAAATAATTATATTAAATAACTGCAGTTGACAGTTGAAAATTAAAGAGAATTGTATATTATTATTTTTCAAATACAGTTAACAGCTGACCGTAAACTGAAAATTACATATGTACTTCCAAAAATCGTTCACAATAGACGAGTTTTTAGTCTTGGCAACCATGCAATTTGAGCTGCTTATTAGTTAAGCGGTTTCAAAAAGGTTGGACTAAATAAGCCAGCAGTGTTGTTGTTTCATATGTTATTTTCAAAATAAGCGGTTGTTCTTTTGTGATTTGCTTACAAAAGAAAATGCCTATTGTGGGCCATTTTTGTATATAAGGAAAATCTTTTAAAGGACAAACCAGCATACATACAATTTAAGAGTCAATTTAACAAATGTATATTATTTAACATATTATTTAACAAGTGATTATGTTTATAATTCAATAATTTCTGTAATTAATAATTAAACATAATTTAATAATTTAATATTATAATTTCGCTTTATTTCGAGCACAGAAATTTTTCTAATTTGTTCAGTTCAAATTATTTAAAAAAAAAATCGACGCAACGACTGTCATCAACTGCCTCCGGCAATTTTTCTGCCAATACTGACTAAAAATTTACTGCGATCAATTATAAAACCACCAAAGAAGATTTTATATAGAACGGAATCTTAAATGAGCACGACACGAAATAACAAACACAATCTCGGAAATTGCAATAAAACCATTTCAAAACGTACGATTATTTTCAACTTGTCCTTATTCAGTCCGAATACGGACCTTAACTTGCTCCGTATACGAACCTTAACTTACTCCTAAGATAAATTTTATGGGCAATGAGTGCAACAGGGAGCATAATTTTGGTTCTCTGGTTTGATTTCTTGACAAAAAAACATGATTGCACTGCCCCAAATTTAAAAAAATTACCGCCGAAATGATTGTAGAAAAGGTAGTAAAATTCTTGTACGGTAAATATTTAATGAATTTTGTGTTATAAACTGTTTGTAATAATTTATTTTTTCCAATTTATTAAATTAAT